TGAGTGAGAAAATCTGGAAGTATAAAGAAAAACAAAACAACTTGGTCAGATTACAGAAATAAGACAGACCAAAAGTGAAGTCAGCATCTAGAAATGTAAAACAAAATAATTTCTGAGCTCACTGCAAAAGATTTCTAGAAGTATAGCAAATAGAGAAAAAAGAATAACTTGCATTCTTTTTTTTTTTTTTTAGGAAACCGTATGTACATTAACGATGTAGTTGGGAGAGTAATGGCATAAAGATGAGAGATTCTCTTAACCACTCAGCTGCGTTCTGAAGCATTGCTAGTGCTTGCTCTTCCTACTTCAGGAACAGGCACAGAAGATTGCAAGGAACCCAGTCCTCTAAAAATTTCCAACAGTGGTCCAGAAACCTATAAAATCATTAATATGCTTTATTTTATTTACTAACTCCAGCAGTGTTTAGATAGCAAATGGTATTCACCTAAACTACAGTTAAAGGGGCCAAGTTTAGACAGTTAACTGAAGTTCTTAATATAAAAGACCTGACTTAAAAGACTTGAGGGTTATTCTCTTTGCAGAAAATAGGACAGCCACTTGCAGAAAAATTCTGCTCATCTGAGAAAGTGTCCCTAACCCTCTCTCCTTTAACTACATAGGCTTTCCTCTCGGCAACCTTAGCGACATTCCCAGTTAGGTGGGATACATCTGTGTCACAACATATTCCCTCTGAATTTAACTTCTCCATCAGCTTCTTTGTCATTTGTGGCAATACTTCATGATTCTGGTTTGTAACTATGCAGTCTGAAAGGTAACATCACCATATGAATCTCACCCTCCCCATTTCCCATGTCAGTGTCCGAAACTACTTATGACTTTTGCTACTTAACGTGTATGGGGACAAGAGTTTTGTTAGACACTTTCCTTGTTTAAGATTGGATTAAGGGATTCTAGACCCCTAAGTACATGTGCTGTCTTGGAGAGAAGGCTCTTTACTTCTCATAAATGAAGAAGCAGTGGTATGACACATTCTGCATTCCTCAGACGCAGCAGTATTCAATCAGAAGGAAGGCCTCTGACTGTCAGCTCAGCATTTTGCCACCAGAACATCCAGATATGGTATCTGATTTTCAGAAATGAGAGCTTCATTTCTAGCATTCAGAAATTATGCATCTGTTCTGGGTGGGAAAGCCAGCTGAGCCTGCACTAAACTCTGTTCCTCTGGTTACACAAAGAATCAAATGTCACTATGATGCAGTTTCACTGCCTCTAGAATAACTGGTCTGGTAAGAGCAAGATGATGTGACAAGTTCACATCCCTTACAGATGGTTTTTCAAAACGTTTGTGAAGCTTCCATAGATTTTCTTGCAAAATAAAATCTGGAAATATTTTTGAAAGTTCAAGTTTTAGTTTAAGCACTCAAGAAGAATGGGTCAAATAGCACATAGACATTCAGGTAGCCAAGATAATTTTCAAAGGCAGAAAAATCCCTTTCACTCATTAAAATAAAAGGTTCCTACACACTAAGGATAGAGAAGATATATGAGTCAGTGTAACTCAGAATATAAAACATCTTTCTCTAGAGACTTAACGTGTTTCTTTTAAAAGGAAAGATAAAAAGAAATAGGAATACAACTGCCAGCATGAAATCTTTATCCAATGTTTTCTGATGAAGTAACAAGAACTGCTTTCCCATTTCATAGCAAAAAATTTTCATAAAAGTAAAAACTTTTCAAGGAAAAAAACCCTCATTTCTGTTTCTTCATTTTTTATTGACTCTGAAAGCAGACATTCTAAAACAAGGTGAAAATGAGGCTTTCCATGAGCAAGCTCGATGAATATAAATAGGAAGGGTGTTAAGTTGCAAATATACAAGCTGTGTCACAGTTGGCTTCAGGCCTGTCTCTGTTCTTCACTAATCATGCTGCAGCACAGTTATATATAACTGTTTATTTCATTCTCTAAAAGCATGTTCAGGCATTGAAAAATGAAGACTAAAACCACAGCCATTCCTCCTCAAATGTGACTGGCATTGTTATACTGCTTTTGTTTCACTTTTCACAGTAAATTAATTCTGAAAACACTGCCAATGAGACTCTTCACTCACACTTTCACAGGCCCCCTCTCAGATCTCAGAGGGTACACTCCACAGCAGCACTGGCATGACTTGGATGCTAAGCCTTTGAATGCTCATATAGGCTGATTAATCAACTATACAATCATTGGAAAGGTTAGGTTGAGCTAGTTCTTTTTCCATTACTTCAGGCAAAAAAATTCCTCTTGAGCATGTAGAGCTGGAAAGTGAGCTGGTCACAGTGAAGGAGGGAGGCTGGGAAGGGCACATGAAAAGTTTCTGTAGATGTTGGCTTTCGGTGATCTTAAAAGCCTACCTTTCAGAGAATATTTTGATAAGAAAGGAAAAAAAAAGATGTTACTTTTCAGATTTCCACTGAGAAATATAACCACACAAAGTTAAAGTGAGCTTTTCCTCCTTCCACTTTTTTGTTGATTTTTTTTCCCTCCATTTTCCTAATAGGTTTACGTAATAAATACGCTCATGCAAAATATTAACGAGAAGTAATTGGTGATGATGGTAAAGCAGAAGGACTTAATTTTCAGACTTTAACATGCTAAACTGGTATTTAGAAAGACATTAGCAAATTTGATGTGAAATTATAGTAACAATTGGATTTTTACAAAGGTATTTTTGGTGTGGAGCCAGTTTTGTCATTTTAATTCTTCCAAACAACAAATATCCTGTGTGTACATTTCTGTTAGTATTAAGGTACTGCTAGAAGAAACCAACTGTTTAGTCAGCTTAGATTTTAATGTTTACAAAATTACTATCTCAAAATTTTATACAAGGAATCTTTCTTGCAACATGTAGTATCTGCCAATCCTCTTCAATAGCATTGTCTCATTTTGGCAACTGTACACAGCAAAATTTATTACAGCAAATTTGCATAGCAGTAGAACAATCTGGGCTTGACACACAAGGGTACTGATTAGATTCAATTTACCTCTCCAGTCATCTTTTTGTTGTTCTTAGAATTTATTTCTTCATATTATTGCATGATTTAAGGAACCAAATAAATTATAAGCATATCACTGCTGGACTGAAATATTTTCTGATTCCAAATACTTTTTTTAAAATGTAAACTGTTATTTGTCCCTTAAGAATTTTAAATGCTAGATAATAAAAATAAACCTAGACAAAATTGACAAAAATGCTATTTATCCTGTTTTACTCTCAAATCTCTAGAGCACAGAAGCAAAAGCCAGAATAATAACCCAAAAATAGCTCCAGACATTTGAATAGCAAACTTACTGATGTACCATCAGAATAAGACAAGCAATCAAACCACAGATTTTCTTTCATTTCTAGGGAAAAGAAAAAGCTTCACCAAATTCAAGAATAAAAACAATTTAACTCAAAATAATTGATAGTTTATTTTAATTGTGATCATAAACAGTATACAGCCTTAACCTTAGCTGCACAATGTATATCAACCCAAGGTTTCTTAAAGTAAAACACAAACATTACAGATTACTGATGAAGAAAGTAAAATGCTGAAGGAATTAATTTAATGAATCATTAATAATAACAGTGATATTAACCATAGAACAGATGCTTAACTGTTCATTTCTTCTAGCCACATACTACAGAATTACAGTTTATACTGCAAGGGCATCAAAACTGTGAGAGGATGCAGAATTGCTCTGCTGCAATACTGAGCACAGGCATTTATGGGAGCTGTGAAGAAAAAATAATGTTCTGAAAAAACTGAAAAAAGAATTTGAACTAGCTTAGTAGGTTTTCAGTGAATATAGATAAAAGATTTCTTTCCAAGAGATGAAAGTAGTTTTGGTATAAGCCATGACTGTTCCTTATTTAAAATGTTCCCAGTCTTGATTTATATACTTATTTAAAGGCTTTAAACCAATTCTTAGTCAAAGTGTCAAAATCATACAGTGACATTTGACAGGAACAAAAGGAAAAAACAATGAAAAAGCAGCATTAGCGTGGAGCATGTTACATCTATGTGTGGCATACATGCTGCATTCCCCAATTTCCAGTGTGTAGATTAACTGTGTTCAGTTTAACCTGAAATGTCAGGATATTTGAAATACTAGTTTTGATAGGCTTTAGTGTGACTGGAAGATATTCTCTAATACCAATATTTGTTCCTAGGCTGTATTCCAGCTTAAGGAATGTTGACACCTGTTGGAGGGTACAGTGGGAAACCCTCCTCTGGCTATTATTTTATACATCAGTTATTGTAAATATAGCGTAACATTAAGTGTACCTTAACACCCAGATCTACCTGGCTGTATTTAATAATTTATTTTTCATGAGAAAATATGATTTGTTGATACTGATTGTGTTTGCAGAAATACCTAACTCCAACACCTACCAAGTGTCCAGGCCTCTTACCTGACATGCAGAAGTCAGTCACCAAAAAAGTTAGTCACTTACCTGGTATTGAACAGAAATCTTAAAATAATCCCAGTTCAAATAGTCACCAATTTTAGTATGAGCAACCTCTTTTTAAGTCCCAGTATAAATCAGAGGTTTTTTAATCTTGGTTTTCCAGTGAATGGCCTCTCTAAACCAGAGATAATGTAGGAGTAAAAAAAAAAAAGAAACAAAACCTGATGACAGTTCTCAGCTTGTCCCAAAGAGGAACAGGCAAGATTTCTAAAATAACAGTGAAAATATTAGTAAGAAAAATATTTCTTGCCCAGTACAGCTGCAGGCATTACACTCTTTTAGTCCTGACCCAAACCACTGATGTTGTTGAGAGAATAAGCTTTCCCATTCCCATTCAACTGGTGGAATTAATTGCTTCACTTAGTGATTAAGCAATGTAGAGTACATTTCTAACACTCTATTCTCCTTTGCTATGATTTTTAACCACTAAATAAGTATTGGAAAATATTAAAGAAACAAAACCCAAAAATAAACATCACAAGGCACTACAAATATACAAAACATGTTGAAATTGCCTTACATACAAAAGCTTTCTTAACCACTTACCCAGGCACTGACACATCTGCCACACGTGGTGATTTTGAAATCCCCATAGAGATCCTTGATGGCACCAGTTGTAAAGAATCCCTCCACCATCAGCAAAATGCCGTATACAAAGAATGCAGCTGCTACACCATATATCACATACTTGAAGATGTCAATCCTGTATGGGAACAGCAAAAATTATTTATCTGCATAAATATTTAAAGCCGACCCTGAAATTTCAGGGTGAGATAATCAGACCCACTAAGCCTCGGAGTTTCTACACTGGAGTCAGCTTAAGTGCTGATGTGCTGTAATGACAACTGAAGCTGGGGCCAGGAGTGAACTTTGGAACAAAATACCATTGATATAAGAAACACTGGGCCATTTAATTTAATAAAATGTAAAAATGGATCTGTGTAGGACAGCACAGTTTGTCAGAATAGTTTAAAAGTCAGGTAATTTTGATTTTATTTTTTCCTCTAAAGTGGCAAAGAAAAAAGAAAAAGGAAACAAGAATCTGACACATCTGAGTAACACATTGTATCCAGAACTTACGGTTATAGAAAAGATATTTTGTCACAATCTTCAATAAACCTTCCTACTTGTACAAGTAGTTCTCAAGCTGCAATGCCAATCTGTGCTATCTTCTCCTCATTATTATTTTTCCACTTATTCTCCAATGGACAAAGTGTCTGACACAGAATAATAAAGTCATCAAGAGAGATCCCTAACTTCAGACCAGAAACATGTTATTATGAAAGTAATAAGGTCAGGTCATCTGGTGTTCTTTTGTAATGCGGTTTTTAAAACATCGTTTCACAGACCCAAAGCTCAAGAAATGGAAGGATGGCTTACAGTGTAATGTGCAGAGCCCTAGAAGGCTCAATTTATTACAAAGAAGATTACCTGGGTTGTCATGTGTTTGTCCTGTGCAGCACTGTCTAGAAACTCAACAGTGGCTCAAGGAGACTCTGCCTCCTAAATGTTCTCTCATGACCAGGGTTTGTGAAAAGATGTTTGAAAGCACCTCTCTGCTCTAAGTGTTTTGTCTAAACTTGGAAATGTTCCTAGTCACCATTGCGCCTTGGATCAGCAGGTTTCAATGTTTCCTGCTTGGACTTTGCCAAAAAATCTAGCCCCAGTAAGCTTCCATTTTATCAGTATGACACAGCAGGAGTCGTGCAACTCTTTAGAAAATGGTAAAGTGCAGGTTTATGATTTTAGTAAGTTCCAGTCATACTGTCCAGGTCAAGACACCAACAGCTCATAACAAAGAAGAACAAAAAAATAAGCCAGAGACCCATTAGGATCTGCAGGATGGATTTTGACATGCACCAAACAAGTACCCAAACTCAAAACATGAAGATTAATACTTTTATTGTTATAAAAAGAAATATTTAATGATAATATTTCTTTAGGATCACACTTTCCATCATCACCCAAAGGACAACTCTCAATAAATGTTTTACATGTACAGTACAATAACAAAGCTCAAACCCCCATGAAAGTATCTTTGAGTTTGGATGGGTTTCAAGAGATTTTCAAAGTCAGATTCAAGTCAACAGTTGATATTTCAGATGTAGGACTGTGTCTATAACTTTGCTGAATGTATCTTAAGCTTTCATTAGTCTGATAAAAATGCAATTAAACTTATGACCTGATTGGGGGTGGGAGAAATATTATAAATTGGCACCTATTATAACATTTTTCAGGCAGCGATAACTGAAGGGTTCTGGGAATGAGACAGGATATGTTTTTTCCCTAGCATTCCAATGACAAAACCCTCTCAGCTTTTTTCTACATTGCTCTTTCTTTCATACTCAAGTGAAAACTAGGGTAAGTTGATGTCTGTATGGAACCGATACATGAACTATTCAAAATGGTGAAACAAATGTAACACTATAGACAATATTAGATGATGCAAAGATTAAATTTGTATTATTACATATAATTCCTGATTACATTGTAAAAATCCCATTTCCCTAGTTTTATAGTAATTCAGCCAGTGTAACACTTTTAACAGGAAAATGATATTTTGAGCCTATCTTGTCATGATTGATAAAAATAAACTTAGAAGAAACAACCAGACAGCAACTTTATGACTATTCCGTAAGATCTCTCCCAATTTCTACATTATACACCTTACAAAACTGTGACCTTCACCGGTGGCTGAACTGTGGGTGTTCTGCCAGCAGCAGCTCCTCATAGACCTCAGTGTGCTCAGTGTTGTAGGAATTACAAGTTATCATTGCCCTAAAGAGATTAAGGCTTTTGGGAAGTCCAGAGACTATTTCAGCCCTTACAACAGCCCTTTAAACCATCTGTGCTGAGCCTCCCACTGAGCTGCTTGTATCAAAAAGCACACTAAAAGATCTGCTTTTTCCTCAGCCTTACATAAAACTAAAGGCATAACTTCCATTTAAGCCTTCTACAAGGAAAAAATATGTATAACTATAGACTAGGCAAATATAGAAATCAATTTCTTCCTCATACAATTTCTACAGAGAGAAGTAGTAAAATCTCTACTGATCAGACTACATGAGATGAAATAGCCAGACTTACTCCAAGGAGAAAGGATCTTGTACCATGCAAAGAGTAAAAATATAAACAAAAATTGTGAAACAATCATTCAACTACCTCTTTGAAAGTCAGATAGACTTGTATTGCAATATAACTACATTTAGTGTGTGCTGTAGTTAAAGAAAATGTACTACAACAATAACATTTTATATATATAGTTTTGAAGATAGGGTTGGCATTAAATTATTCTGCAGCATCTAATAAATTTCACTTAAATTTCATTTTCCAATGAAATTATAAAAGATAATAAAATATAGGCCTTGTAAAATGGAGATTGCCTTCCTTTAAAATAAAATTTAATTCTTTGTGGATGAACTCAGGGAGATTAATTGACATCTGTGTTTCAGCAAAGTCTCAAATGCTGCAGAGAGAGGGCGAGAGCAACCACAGAGGTAGAAGGGAATGGCAGAAGGGGTGATGAACATGAGCCAACGAGCGAGATGGGTAAGGACAAAGAAAAAGGACAAGCAGGGCTTATGCTTGTGCAGGCTGGAGTGAAAGGAAAGAGGTGCGTAAGGAGCAAAGGAAGAAGAGACAAAATTATAAAGTTTGTACTCCTGACAGGATTGGAAACATATATATCGGATGAAGACTAAAGCTACACTACTTGAGAAGAACAAAAAGAAATCTTGAATACCTATTCACTATATGCAGGAGTCCTATGAATATTATATAATGTTATAATTAAAGTAATGAAACATTTCTATTAAAAGGCAATCAATGAAGATTGTGAAGATAAACCTGATTTTAAGAAATTCATGTTGATCATGCAATCTCACATATTAACATAGACTGCTGGGTAGGATAAGCTGAATGACTATCTAAACGTAAATTAATTGTGAAAAACATCTTGACATTAGTAAAAGCCTTTCTTTTCTAGAATAATCTAAAACATATTTTGCATACTGTCTTAATCTTGTAGAGGCTCTATGAGTTCCAGACCTGATTTTCCTCACAACACTATGTTCAGAAATGTTAAAAACACAAACACCACTGTTTTCAATGTGTGATTTAAATCAAGCTGATCTTTCAACTTTTAGTTGAGTTTTAGTGATTCCATATTAAGTGGACTCCCTAATTCATTAATCTGAATCTGGATTCTATCCAACAAGATTAATATTAATAAAGCTCTGGAGAAAACACTTTCTTCCTCTGACAGCGGTTACTGATGGAAGCCATCAATGCTAACATCTTAACAAACAGGTTGTACCTGAGTACAGGGCAGACTATCCCAGCAGTGACAAGTCAGAGGGGAGTGAAAACATTCTCAGCAAGTTAGATCAATGTTGCAGATTTCCTACTGTGTATTTTCACGGTGCTTTGGCAAATTCAAGGATTAATACATAAAATAAATCAGCAAGCAATAAGATTAATTGTTGAAGGATCATGTCTATGTGTAGCAGGCTTTTGTAAAAAGTGTATTATAATACATTAGTTATTATTTTGTTGTTGAGACTCATTCAATCAACTGAGCTCATAACTATTAAATCCTGTTTCAAAAGTATCTCGGTATTCATAATTAGCTTCTGTTAACTGTGTCTAGAAGTAATATTTTGGGCTTGAGGAACTAGTCGCTTCACTAGAGTAAATCACACTGCTCCACCATAATAAATGTATTTACTACCCCAACAGATAAGCCAAGAACTGTTAACATTAACCCTATGTATTTACTGTGCCCTAAAAGGAATTGCAAATTGTATGAACCCTGAAGAATTTACACTATTCAGTCTAGTCATGGTATACTTTCTACCCTCAGTGAGGAAGGTTGGTACTCAGCAAATGCACATCAATACATCTTTTTCTATCAAAATTACTTAATATTGCTTTGGAACAACCTACATACTAGCTAGGGGTATTTTTCTTTAATTTGCTTAATATAGGAATGCATTGCAGGCATTTATTTGTTATTAACAGCAACAAAAACCCCACCACATTAGTTTGCCCTGTGACATGTGATTCTCATGCTGTCCAGAAAACCTTTTTATTCAAATAAAGCATATATATAATTCAGCCTGAACAAGAGATAAAAGCCTAATACAGAGGGTTTGGTTGGCCTAGCCCACCAGAGTACTAGGTATTACCATGGAACTGTTCTTCCAGCATTTGTAATTCTGCTTCACATTTCTCTTTATGAATTTGAGACATTATTTCTCCAAATATACATAATGACATTCAGATACTACAGGTGCTGGATAGCACATAATTGCCAGCAACCTGTACCTATACTTTCCAAAAGTAGATTCAGGCAATTTTACCTATTTCCAAGCTATGATAACACAATAAGGAAAATAAAATACCAAAACTAGCAAAGTACCGAAAATTTAGTTAGATTTTCATAGTTCAATTCCTAATTTAAAATTACCTTCTTTTATAGCTGACACTGACAATGTAAAAAAGGGAGAAATGCATGTAATCACTACCATTGGGGTAGGTCATTTTTGCTGGTTCAGGGGGGTTTGTTGTCTCCCCTCCCCCGCCCCCCCCAAATTATTTGTTTTTTTCAATCGCAAGGAACATTGAATAGTTGATGTTCACATCAATAATCTCTGTTACTCTGTAAAAGAGCAATGCTGACCTTCAGGCTGATCCTCTTGCCCC